ATATTCTTGAAGGCCCTTCTGGGGACAGACTGGATCACCAAAGGAAGCCCTGCAAGTTACGATTTAGGAAGAGACTGCCAGGTGTGCAGCACTGTACAGCTGTTGAGACCCAGACTAGGACCACCGTCAGAGAGCTTCCTAGAAGAATCCTGGAAACAGAAAGACGGGGCTCCTCCTTCTCTGCCCCCAGAATGAAGCAGGTGCCCGGTTTGTGGAAACACTTGCCTCAAATTTATTGGGTGGAAAGAGAGAGAGGAAGATAGTGCTCTCCCCTAATCGGGACACCCTGGCCTTGGAAGAAAACGAAACTCGGATTATAAAAGCAGCAGCCAAGGCATTTCTGAACTCTGCTTTTCTAGACTGGGTTACCCTCGGGAGATATCCACACCCTAGAGCGGCTGACCACCCACTCCCCAATACAATAAAGAACTAGTAAGGCTGCATTTTCTGGTCCCATACAGGACGGGTCACTTCCAACATTTTACAAAGGCAGGCTTCCTCAGTGCCCTAAATGCCAGAGTTTACCAATTTAGTCTAGTCAGTCTCAGACGACTTCGTTCATCTTCCTAGCTCACAAGAGGTTAGATTCTGGGTTTTTCGGGGTCAGAGGGAACAGGCAGCAATGAGAATAATGATTTAGCCAAAGCATGTTGGTGTTGAAACACTGCAGGAGGTATTAAGGCTTCCCTGGAAGAGGAATCAGCTTCTGATGGCCTGATCATTGTTATACAAAAGCAAGTTCCAGGAGCTACACAGTTCGAACAAGCCAGGGGTACATAGAGAAACCCACTACCCCCAAGAAAAGTCTTTTAGCAAGACATTAAGTCATTTTCTTCTTTCTTTTTTCTTTTCTTTTTTTTTTTTTTTTTTTTTACAGGGTTTCTCCGTAGCTTTGGAGACTGTCCTGGAACTAGCTCTTGTAGACCAGGCTGGCCTTGAACTTACAAAGATCAGCAGCCTCCGGGGTGCTGCCTGACTAGCAAGTCATTTTCAACGTAACAAAACCTCTTACCTGACCTAGGCGTTGTCTGAGGAAACCATTCCAGGTTTGTCAGGAATGTCTTAGGACTGTCATGCTAAGGTTCTGAAATTTCCAAGATTCCTTGAAGGCCTAAATAGCCATTGCTCCAGAATAAATGCCAGGTGCAATGGATCTTCTAATTTCTTTACCCCAAAGCAGGGGTGCTATGGTAACAGTCACCACGTGTTCCGTTTTCATGTGAAGTGGCAGCAGAAATCTCTGGTGACTTGCCTGACTGTCCCTACACAAAAGCAGAGGCAATAGGGACATAACCTCTTCCTCCAGAATTACTTTTTAATGTGTGTGCATGTGTACACAGTGCTTTAAGATTGATTCTGACACCTTCCTCTACTGTTCTGCCCTATATTCACTGAAACAGGCTCTCACTTGGAAGCTAGATCACCAGTTAAAGAGTCTGGCCACATTTGAGGATGCCATCTCTCACCTCTCCCAGTGCTGGGATTACAGGCAGGCTGCAAGGCCTGCTCTGCATTTATTTATGGGCTGGGGACCTGAACTCTGGACCTCAAGCTTGGGAGGCAATCACCGAACCATCTCCCTGGCTGCCTAAAATTCATTCATGAAGGAGTGTAACTGCTGCTACAATGTTTTGGTCTCAGTATCTGGGCATTGGGGTCCACATCTGTCATCTCGGTACTGGGGAGGTGAAAGCAGATGGCGTGGGTGGTCCACATCTGTAATGTAGGTACTCAGGAGGTGAAAGCAAGTGGCCTGTCTACTACATGGCAAGATCCGGTCTCAGTTTATGGTTTAAACAGACAAGTCTCTACTCCTAATTTACGAATATTCATATCTCTTAGTTGGGTGTGGTAGAACATGCCTGTAATTTCAGAGCCTAGAATTCCAACTTCAAGGCCTGGTCTACATAGGGAGTTCCAAGTCCCCCCCCGCCCCCGCTGTAATTGTCTTCAAATTATGCTACACTGGTCTAAAATGCCTGCCCCCCCCACAGGATTTTTCCTCTGTGTAGCTTTGGCACTTGTCCTGGAACTCACTCTAGCCTTGAACTCTTCTGCCTCCTGAGGGCTGTGATTAAAGATGTGCACCACAACCCAACCTCATTTCATTTTTTAAAAATAATTTACTTATTTTTATGTGCATTGGTGTTTTGGCTGCATGTATATTCGTGTGAGGGTGTCAGATCTTGGAGTTACAGATAGTCGTGAGCTGCCATGTGGGTGCTGGGAATTGAACCTGGGTCCTCTGGAAGAGCAGTCGGTGCTCTTTATTGAGCCATCTCCGCAGACCCTTACCGGGCATTTCACATTTAAATGCATGTATGTCTGTGCTACACTGGGTGTAGAGGTTAGAGATAACCTACAGTTTTCTCCTGCCACATGGATCCTGAGGATCTTACTCAGTGGTCAGTGAAATGCCTTTACCCACTGAACCATCTTGCCAGAGACATTCTTTCTAAAAAGATCACCAGAAGCAGTGTGAATGCCACGGTCATGGCACCCTGCTGCTCACTGTGCTTAACTCGTCCTGGGCCTTGCTGCCCAGTAAACATATTCACTAGTGGGGCTGGAGAGTTGGCTAAGTTGTTAAGAGCACTTGCTCTTGCAAATGATCTGGGTTTGATTTGCAGCATCCATATGCCTCTCCAGACACGCACACAGTATACAGACATAATAGACACACACTCACATACATAAAAAAAAAATCACTAGTGACAAACTCTGTGTTCCTTGAACACTAAAGGCAAACATCCTGTCCCTTCAGACCCCACCGTGTTCCCAGTGCCAAGCCTAAGGACAGCACACCTGCGGCCAGTCAGCAGTATGGAATGCAGCCCACACTGTGCTAGCGTCTGTCTTACCCTGCAATCCCTCTCACTAATGCTGCTCACATGTCTGATAACACAGATCAGAAAACAGACCCATTTCCAATTTTTGTCCTAAGTTTTGTTTATAAATTTCAAGAACCACAATGTCCTCTGCCATACGGTCTGCTTCTGCTTTGGAGAGACCCAGAGGGCTTTAATGGCAGGGCTCAGGGCATTCCTACTCCAGCCCAAGATGTCTGTAGGGAATGGCTCAATCTGTCCCCAAGAAAAGGAGAACTAACACTTCTCCTTCTGCAGGAGGCACTCAGAACCGCCTTCTCCCCACAGGAAGAAAAGCACTGCTAACTCTAACTGGGCCTCGCAGCCCCTGGAGGAGGAGGACAAAAGGCACTTTAAACACTTTGAAGGAAGACTCCACACACTTTTATAATCAGAAACTTAGTTTATTTGGAATAAACCACTCAACTTTGAGCAGATGACATCGCCTCAACTTTTCTTTAAAGAAAAACAAGGATCTGGTCAGTTCATGAAAACATGTGTTTCTCTACCCTTTGCAGGGCAAAACTCCAAACAAAACCAAACCAAAAAAAATCTCTGCCTGACCTTTAAGATGTCCCTGATAATGTTGCAAAGGATGGCCACCGAGGGCGCAAAAGTAAGGTGTTCACAGGTGAAGCACCACCAGCTATGGCTGGCAAAGCTTCCTGCGGTGCGAATGGTCAGGGTCACAGCTGAGAAGGAGCCTGTCAGCTGTGCAGTTGAGAAAGCGCCCAAGGGGTTTAGGTTGCAGAGCTGCAACTCTGGTCCTGTGTCATGGCAGTGCCACTGATGGGGGTCTGTGTATCAACACAGAATGCACATGCCACCCCTGGGCCCTGCGGTAGGAATACTCCTTGTTTACAATTAGCTCCTACTGTTATTTTGGGTTCAATCGATACATACCAAACTACTTCCAATCCACCCCACAATCTCTCACTTGTCGGGGACAACATGAAGAGACAAAACCTGAGGAGGTGAAAGAGAACGTGTAGCTGGCCAAGTACCCAAGAGTCACAGCTGTCACCTGTCTTGAAAACAACTCAATTTTATAGCTTTACATGGTACCTAGGTAATTGTTGACTGGAGGTGAAAATGTATGAATATCAAAGAATCTGCATCGCAATATTCACAGATTTCTCTGCAGGCTCTCCTAGGAGTTCAAGGAGGCCCTGTCAAGTATAGACAGCTCTGCCAGTCTCAGAGGGAGGCACTGAACAAAGCCATGGAAACCCCAGAGATCACAGATCTAACTTTTCAAAGGCCCACAGGACCAGGTTCAAGACAGGAAGGACACCAGGCAAGCTGCCTGTCCCCTTGCACTTGACTGTGCAAGGACTGGTCCTTTCCTCTGGCCAGCCCCTTCTAGTAAAGGAACTGGGACCACAACCAGGCATTCTCCTGGCCTTAGACTCCCAGACCCTAGAGATGGGGTCCTCTGACAACTGCAACTAGGCAAAAGGGAACATATCCCAGCCCAGAGTAGCATCTGGCCACACTCCAGGCTAACATAAAAATAACTTGTGCAAACCTAGCTCTTGAGCCACAAGGCCCATGCCCTTGGAAGGGCCATGCTGAACTCTGACCTTGATGCCCACAAGAACGCAGTAAGACAGTGTCAGACACGGCACGTGTGGCCCTGGTCAGAGTACACCATTGAATACTGGATCAAAAGGAACAACCAAAGAAAAGGAAACTTATTTGGGGAACGATTCCTTTCAAAGGTGGTTCTCTTATCTTTAGGAGACAAAAGGAAGCACCACGCTGAACCGGTCTCCCAGTCTGAAGGTGCGAAAGCCCACCTCTGCTCTGCTGTGGCTTCTGGCTTGGTGGCCTAACTCAAGTAAGTCTCACATTCAAGAATAAAAGTAAGCCATATTGAGACCTTGCCTTGCTCTGTGTCCTTGCTGCCCAGCGAAGGAGGGAGGTGTGTGACTGCCTGTGCGCCATGCCTGTTATGCAGGCCAACTCAGTTCCCCACCATCTGCCACCTTTGCTCACCCTTGATCTCCCAGCTACAGTCAAACACGATGCTGGAGAGCAGACACCACGCCAGGAACCCTGGCAGTGCAGACATTCTGAGGCTGGTGGGTGGGCAGCATCAGGTTACATTCTAAGTAAAATTGCTAGAGGGTATGCACTCCAAAGCCAATTTATTTTCAAAAGGGCTCTGTGTTATCCTATGGTTTGCCTTTTTTTCTTTATAATCGTACAACCTTTGAAAATTACATAAGTTGTAATGATCTAATACTATGAATAGCCATTCAGGAAAAAAAAAGTTCCCTCCCTCCCAACAACCATCCAGGGAGAATTTAATAAAAGTCCTTACTAGAGGCCAGTTCAACACGGCCTCTACCCTGGTAGAAACAAAAAGCAAAAAGATGAGGAGAAAACAAATTGACTAAAGAGGTGTGTTGCCAGTGTCTCTCAGGAGTGGGGCCCTGGCTGTTGCCTGGGGTCGTGAAAGGCAGAGTCTGCAGCATGCAGTATGACAGCCGGGACGCCCCACAGCTACATCTTCCTCACCCCGGCACATCCACAGCCCAGCTTAGGTGTCGTGAAAATCCTTCAGCAGGGTTCTTCTCCGCTGCTCCGCTATGTGCATTTGGTTTTCCAAGTCCTGTACAAAGGACATACAACAGGTGTTTACAAGTCACCAAGAGCAACCAAGAGCAAGGGCTCTGAGGAGTCCACACAAAATTAACCTTTCACCCCCCTGCAGCAGCGTTATTTTGCCATCTCCACACAATCACCTGTTAACACACCCTTCCCTTACCTGCACCAGGGCAGAAGGCACTTACCCCTCTGTCATAGCTGTCTGCACGTTCAACTTTCCACGACAGGTTTTCAATCTCAGCCTCCAGCTGAGCCTGCTGGTATTCAAACTGTATGGGCAGAGCAGGAGGGTCAAAAGGAGAGGGGCTGTAGCCGGGCAGGGCCTGCAGATGGAGGGCACACGCAGCACCTCAGGCTCAAATTAGCAACTGACAAGCCTGCCACTGTCCTCAGGGTGCCCACTACTCTATCACAGAGCTGGAGAACAGCATCCAAAGGAAGGCGAGAAACTTAGAGTCAAAGGAAAAGACTTTCCCCAAAATACTGGGCCACAGATGCTGCCACAGTGAAGTTAGAAGGGACAGCCTGCACTCACTCAACATTTTCCCCAGCCATCCAGCCAATCAAAAGCCTTTCAATCAGAGATGGAGCTGTGTCTCAGTTGGTGAGGCACCTACCTACCTAGGATGGACAAAGCCGGACTGGGTATGGTGGCTCATGCCTGCAATCCCCACACTAAGGAGGATCACAAATTCAAGATCCTCCTTGGTTACTTAGCAAGTTTGAGGCAGCCAGAGCTATAGGAAGCTCTAACTCTAAAAAACCAACCAACTGACCAAATGAGGGAAACCCTTTGAAAAACCAAACAGTTGGACCTGTGGGGTTATGCAGGCCAGAGGCCTGTACTTTTAATTAACACTTGAGGGGTAGAGACAGGAAGATTTTAAGTGAGGTCCTACCTCAGGAAAAAAAAAAAAAAAAAAAAGAAATCAAATTCTTTGACTTAGTACCTATACACCTGAGGAGTAAATGTTATACATGAAGACTTTCCTCAGTCTTATTGGTGACAGTGAAATTGGAAACAGTTGTCACCTCAAATGACAATACATTAAGGCAATACAGAGGGGGCATTTACGTAGCCACTAAAAAAGACAGAATTTAATCTGGTAAATCGTGACGGCTATAACAATGATAAACCTGTAACAATAAAATGCTGTATGCATGTAACTTTGTTCAAGACAGGGTTTCTCTGGATAACAGACTTGGCTGTCCTGAAACTTTTCTTTGTAGACCAGGCTGGCTTCAAACTCACAGAGATCCGATTGTCTCTGCCTCCTGAGTGCTGGGATTAAAGTCTCGTGTGCCACCACTGCATTGGGCCGTATTTTTTTGTTCGAGACAGGGTTTCTCTGTAGTTTTTGGTGCCTGTCCTGGAACTAGCTCTTGTAGACCAGGCTGGCCTTGAACTTACAGAGATCTGCCTGCCTCTGCCTCCCGAGTGCTGGGATTAAAGGTGTGCACCACCACCGCCTAACCCGTAATTTCTTTCTTTCTTTTTTTTAAAAAAAGAATTATTCATTACATATACAGTGTTCTACCTGCATGTAGCCTGCACACCAAATGAGGGCATAAGATTCCTTTACAGATGGTTGTGAGCCACCATGTGGTTGCTGAGAATTGAACTTAGGACTTCTAGAAGAACAGCCAGGGCTCTTAACCTCTGAGCTATCTCTCCAGCCCCCTGATTTTGTTGTTTGTGATAAGTTACTATTATGTAGCTTAGGATGGACCAAAACTCACAATCCTTCTGTATCTGTATTGCTAGGACTATAGGTGTTTGCAGCAACGCCTGACACTGTGTTTTTCTGGTGCTGGGATGGAATCCAGGATCATATGCGTCAGGCAGATGCTCTTCCATGAAGCCATACTTCCATAACATTAATTTTAAAGGCTAGAAAATGTTAACCAGGATCTATTTTTTCCTGGTGGGATAATGAATAGTAATATAAATGCTATGTTTTCCACATTTAAGTGATATAGAGAATTTACTTTATCAACAGCAGAAACAAGCATATTTAAGAGGAAGAAGTAAAGGAATAAAATGGCAAGTATAATGTAAGAATGTGCATGGTAGGGGATGGAGAGATGGCTCCGAGGTTAAGAGCACTGACTGTTCTACCAAATGGACCCAGGTTCAATTCCCAGCACCCACATGGCAGCTCACAACTGTCTGCAACTCCAGTTCCATGAGACCCAACATTCTCACACAAACAAACATGCAAGTGAAGAACTATGTTCAGAAAATAAAATAAAAGAATGTGCATGGTATGGCCACTGGCTATCCAAGAGGTCTGTTTTACAGATGTCCAGAGCAGAGATGGAATTTTACATAAGACAGTCTGATTGTGTTCTCCCAAGACCCTCTTCACTTGTCAAGTACTGGTAAGAATGGGTCCCTTTAGAGCTGCAGAAAAAAGCAGAAGGGCAGTTTTGGCTTACCAGCTTCTTCCTAGGGCCAGACTCCATGTAGTACGCATATGGATAGGTGTATTGCAGGGTGTATCGACACTGTAAAAGAAAAAAAGCACCTGTACCTTTCTAACTGATCCACATCCCTTACAATTCATATTCAACCATGCAAATGGGGACTCTAGACATGAGGCCAAACCAGAAATGATCCATTACAGGAAGACACAGGGAAAAATGAAACCACAGAACCACCATGTTTAAACCGTTTACTACCACCAGATGCCTCATGATTTTAATTGGACATTAAAATATACGTATCTTAATACTAATCAAACATGCATTTTCCATTCAGTTACCCAGAGATCAGACAAAGGAGAAAAAGACTAATTTTCACTGTTGGCAGGAGGCAGTAAAACCATTCAGAAATCCCATGGACATCTAGCAAAGGGCTGGGACTTCTGGTATAGCCAGCACAGAACAATATGCACTCATAAATGTGCATGCAGAGCTACACAGGTTACCAAATTCCCCCTCTTTTCAGAGGTGGCTTCTCACCCTACTGTTGGGATTCAGTGATGGAAGAGTGAAATGGGAGATACCTTGGCCAACAGCTTAGCAGCGTTCTGCAGGTACTGCCAGTCAATCCATGTCCCCAGATTGTTCATAACCCTCTCCTGAATCTTCTCATGAATCCGTTGGTATGTTTGTGCCTCAAGCTGCAAACTTTTATTGTGGTTTTCCCACTACACAGCAGAGGAAGAAGGAAAAACATACAGGAGTCCCAGAAAGGCATAAAGATCAACACAGGAGCTTAGGACAAACACCCTCGCTGGTATGTCCCGCGGATGTCTATCTTATGGAAAAGACTGACCACAATCCATCGTTCGGCTAAGGTAATACCAGGTCCTTCCCCTGTACAGTTGTCCTGCATGACTGAAAAGCTGCATTTGCCAAGAAGCAATGCTCAGGAGGCAGATGCAGGAGCTCTACTCAGTGGCTTCCATGTTCACATGGCATCCCAATGATCTCACCTTAGCAGGTCAGAGGAAGAACCTATTCTGGAAAGGCAAGGATATGATGAGACACCTACCCTCTCAAAGTAGAACAAGTACTTCTTGAGGGCCTCCCTGGCCTGGGCTTGCTGACTCTGGTTGACGATGTCAGGGTTCTCCTTGTACCGACTGCACTCATAATACTCACTGCCGTGCGTCTTCCAATCTCCTAGACACATCCAGCAGAAGTCTGCACAGAACAGAGGGTGGGTCGTTCACCTTCATAAGACAATCACACACTCCTCTAAGGCATAGGCAGAGGAGGAGGAGGAAGATTTAATCTGAACAGAGACTCCCAAGGCTGCCTCTTTGCAGAGAGATGTGCAGTTCTCATTCTTGTTACAATTAACTGTCCCCAAAGCTTGTCAGGACAGACAATGTTCATGGGCACACATGCTGTGTGCCTTACTGCTGACTGTACAAAATCACTGGTCAGCTTGGTCAAGGCATTGTGAGAAGCAAAAATACCCACATAAGCACCACCCTCACCCCATCATCTAGAACACACACTGTCGATAGAAAACACTGTCCTAATCACTTACCTTACAGTTCCCACTTATCCTAAGATTTTATATACAAAACTGGAAACAAAAGTTTCTTCCCGTTTTAGTATATGTATTCCTATTATTATATGCACACACAAAGACAGAGGTGCAATTTAACATTTTATTTCATCCTCTCTCTCTCTCTCTCTCTCTCTCTCTCCCCCAACATCAGGATTAGAAGCATGTGCCACTATACCCGACTTTGTTACTTGTGCTCTGGGGACCGACCTCAGACTGTCATGTTTGTGTTGCAGCAATGACATTACTTACTGAGAGCTATCTTTCCCACCCTTTCCAAAGTGTGTATTAGTATAAAATCTCTATCTAATCAATAGTTTATATGCAGTTTCCACATTGAGGAAGGCAAGAAAAAAAGAATCTGAAGTATGCTATGTAGGGCTGGAGAGATGGCTCAATAGTTATGAGCACTGACTGCTCTTCCAGGACCCGGGCTCAATTCCCAGCACCCACACGGCAGCTCACAACTGTCTGTAACTCTAAGAGACACCCCCACACATACATACATGCAGGCAAAGCACCAATGTGCATAAAATAAAAATAAATTATAAAAAATGCTCTGCTTAAAAGGTATGCTATGCATTCAAATAACAACTGGCATCTACTAGAGAGAGGTTGCCCACAATTTTGTTAGGTGTCTGTTCTGTTTCTGCCAGTGAACCTATTAGAGAAAAATCCTGTTTCCCAGGATCTACACTTTATCCCGGGCACTGACTTTCCAAAAGAAGTTGTTAGGACATCTAGAGAAGGAAGGTCAAACACAGACAGCCACAGTTATTCAACTTCTGTTTCCCAGAAGCCCTCTTCTAACAGTGGGTTATACTGTCCCTTCCTTCATCAGTTAGGCTTGTTTTAAGGGATAACACATTGCTTAGGGTTGCTTCGGTAAGTGATAGAATTAAATAGCAAACTCTGGCCGTTTAGAGACAAGGAGATGAGGCTTCTCAAGGCACTAGAAATACATCATATAGTCTACACCTTTCTTCCTATTCTTTTTGGTTTTCAAGAAAAGGTTTCTCCATGGAGCCCTGGCTGTCCTGGAACTCACAGAGATTTGCCTGCCTCTGCATCCCAAGTGCTGGGATTAAAGGCGTGTACCACCACCGGACCTTCTTCCTTTCCTTTCCTTCTTTTAGGCACCAGGATAATTAATATGAGATCCACGAAGGCCTCAAACATCTGTGCTCAACCAATTTGTAGCTGGCTACAAAGACATCCAACACACAACTTTTTTTTTTTTTTTTAAGAAAAAGGAAAGGATTTTACTTGGCACCCTGCAAAGAGAGCAGTCAGTCCAACAAGAGCCTGACTCCCACTCTTCTTTAAACAACACACATGTGCAATGCCCTGCTTGGTCCTGATGGTGGAGACCCAATCAGAAGTCCTTCTGGAAACTGCTCTGAAAGAACTGATTTTGTAGTAGCATGGCAAAACCATGGACAACCTTTTCTAAAAGACATTTCTTAAGGTATATTAGATAATCAATTCTATTGATATCTGTCTGTTTTGGCAAAAAGAATAGAAGACACTAAAACCTTGAACTGAGTGTTTTGGTACATGCCTATAATCCAACCACTGTACTGGATGACTGAGGATCATAACCATCACACAAAACTTGACTTTTTAACTACACATCTGCAAGAGGGCAGTGGGATTATATATAAAAGAATGCTCATCCCGCAAAAAAAAAAAAAAAAAAAAAATTAAAAATAAGCTTTAATGAAGGTAATTTAGAATGTTTTTTTTTTTTTTTTTTTTTTTTGAAACAAGGTTTCTGTTTCTGTGTGTAGTAGTACTTGCTGTACTGGAACTAGCTCTTGTAGACCAGGCTGGCCTTGAACTCACACACATCCACCTGCTTCTGCCTCCCAAGTGCTGGGATAAAAGACGTGTGCTACCACCGCCCAGCTACCATAGTCTTTTTTTTTAAAAAATATTTATTTATTTATTATGTATACAATATTCCGTCTGTGTGTATGCCTGAAGGCCAGAAGAGGGCACCAGACCTCATTACAGATGGTTGTGAGCCACCATGTGGTTGCTGGAAATTGAACTCAGGACCTTTGGAAGAACAGGCAATGCTCTTAACTGCTGAGCCATCTCTCCAGCCCCCCAGCTACCATAGTCTTAATTGATGGAGGCTCCCCTTTGTTTTGCTGTTTCATTAGAAAAGAACTCACTAATAAGTAATAGAAATCAAAGTACAAGAAACATAGACCATGCTCCTGGACTGGAGACCAGGTCTGCGACTCACCGTGCTTACACTTGGAGCATTGCTGTCAGAGAGAAGAGAAGAGAACACATTAAGGACAAATACTCTGACCAAGGGCTCCATATCACACATGCAGACACTATCTGCTTCTGCTCACCATGTGATTGCAGCCTCCGTTCTTCTCAATGCAGATGTTGCACTTGGGACACTGAGGAGACAGAAGGGGGCCATTAGGCTTACACATCATCAGCTCAGTTCTAAGAAAAATTACAGAACACTCCAGGCACCCGTGCCCAGTAGCTGATCGCAAGCACTTCTGGGGAGGTGGGAGTCTCACTTAAATGTGGCAGGTCGCTGAGGCTGGAACAGCAATTCAAGGAAATGAGGTCAGCATGTTTGGCTCTGAAATAATCCAAGTACCAGCTGAGCCCCACTAAGTCTTCCACCATCTGTCCTTTCTGAAGCACCTCTCAGATTAAGCCCAGGCTAAAGCAGCAGAAAGCCTGCCTGATGGTAGAACGGCCACCCTTACTTGGACTCTGGCTTCCAGAACAGGGTATGGAAACCACCTCAGAACACCTCTCACTTGGAAAAGGCCAGCAACCCCAGGACTAAACTGACATGGAGCCCCCTACTAGGGTGATTTAGTCTATGTAGAGGCCTGAGTGCGTCAGTGAGGCACTGCACAATGGATTCTGCCCCAAGGGGACGCTTTAATGAATATTGACAATCTCTGGGTTTGTATTACAGTCATGTTATTTATGAGCTAGGTCAATTAACCACTCTACTCCTTGTACAGTTTCAATAAAAATCAGGGTTTTCCTAATTAGCTCTCCCTAGGGTCAAACTTTTCTAAGTATTTTGGAATTTTACTGACATAAGCGCACCTGGGGCTGGAGATGGCTCAGCAGTTAACAGCACTTGTTGCACTTGCAGAGGACCTGGTTAGGTTCAACTTCTAGTACCACACAGTGGATCAAAATCACCCGTAACTCTAGTTCTAGCATATCCAACAAGCATGTATGTGGTGCACATACATGTATTCAGGCAGAAATGCACACACATAGAGTAAAAAAAAATTTTTTATTATTATTATTTGTTTTTATTTTGAGACAGGGCCTGGTCTTAAACTTACAGAGATCCATCTGCCTCTGTCTCTGTGCACAGACTAAAAGTGTGGGCAACTACGTACAGCACTAAAAAATAACTTAATAATTATTTTTAAAATATTTATTATAATTTTAAAATGCATCTAAGGATGAAAAATTGATAAACTCTACTAAGTATGGTTGAGTGTCCAAGTTTCCAACAAGCTCCTGGGCTATGTGCTCTGCTCTCAGATGTCCAAACTTCAGGGCACTATTTAGGGAAGTTCCATTACAGGTAACATATAGTCCTTACATCTTTAGTGTGAGCACTAATGTAGTTAGCCGTTTCAGAGTCGTCTGCACACTTCGTAAGCCATTTCCGGATTGTGGCGCAGTCTGTGGGGGCGTGATACATCTGTCGACACTTGAAACTTAAAATTGAAAAAGAAACACATTCAAATATTCACCAAATCAGGGTTTTGTGTTTTAAAATTTCCTCTTGTTTGAGCTTAACAGATCCTGAATTAAAGCTTTGGGCAAAAATCACTTCTTGAGGTCTTAGGGGTGTTACTCACCCAGGATTATAATGAAGCACATTATGTTTTTTCAACTTGAGCCTGTTACATGCTCAATAGGCCCACATGAAGCTTCTCCTTCAATATCCTGAATGGAATTAACCCTTTCCAAAAGGAGTCAAATAGAGCCCAGCTTCCTCGCCACCCTCCTTTGAGGTGCTAGAGTAAACTCAAGGCCTTGCACTTTGCTATGAAGCTACATTCCGTGTCCAGAGCCCAGTTTGTGTGTGTACCCCCACCCCTGCAACAGGGTTTCATATATCCCAGGCTGGCATCCAAAATGATCGTTCTGCGTCTACTTCCTGAGAACTAGTATTACAGGCATGAGCCAAACATGCCTGGTTTATGTGGTGCAGGAGCTCAAACCCAAGGCTCTACGTGCAGCGCAAGCACTCTACCAGCTAAGCTCCATCTCTCACCATGAGCTCAGCTTTTTGGAAGGCAAGTACATAGAAGACTCTGAGGATACTTTGCTCAGGTATAAGGTAGAACTGAAACTTTTGGGAGTTTCCCTACACCTTCTAGCCAGATGTGCAGAAGGATGCAGGAATGCCAGAACTTATCAAATCTGAGTGGTCCTATTATATCTGACAACTAGAACTCGCATTCCAATCTCCTTTTATACAAGCCAACACTAAGGTTCACAGGCAGACAGCGGACACGTGTTTTGGGGAAAGAAGCTCTGACTGTGAGAAAAGAGATGTAGAGCAACTGTTCAGTTTTAACCTCTTGGTGGGACAGAGTCCCTCACTGTCCTAAAAGGCAGAAAACATACACACCCATGTACTGTGTGGTTTCTCTGCATCTAGACCACACCAATCTTTCAGGGAGGTGCGATTGGGACACACCTGGATTTAAATTACAGCTCTGCTATTTTCTAGTAGGTTTATTTACCTTGTACCTTCATTTCCTCACCTAGATGGTAACAGGCAATCTCGCAGTTGTGATATGTAGGGAAAACAGCTGGACAGTCACTTGGAAAGAATCCATTATGTTTTGGCTATGCCCATGGAATTTACTGAATGGGGAGTACCTCAGATGTAGAATTCACCCATAAATCACAGTTTTATAAAAGGCAGCAAGTACCAGCAGGGTGGTACATGAAGTCAATACCAGCTCTTGAGAGGCAGATCTTTCTAACTTTTAGGACAGCCTGGCTACAAAGTAAGATCCAGGATAGCCAAAGTTACATAACAAGGCTCTGTCTCAGAACAAAACAAGACAAACAAAAAAGTTAGCTAAAGAGGTTTGGAGTGCTTGCCTAGCATGCACATGGGCCTGAGGTCAACCCCTAGCACCACTTAAACTGAGCATGGTGATGCAGTCTGGAATCCCAGCGTTGTGGAAATAGAGGGAAGATGATCAGATATTCCTCAGGAACCTGCACTTCCTTGACTCCAAAGACTGTTCATTTATCAAAATACTCTGAGGAACACAAAATACGGGGCCACGTGAACTGGAAAACTCTCCTAGAACAGATACGCATCTCTCCCAGCCCCATCTTCCATACAGCCAGCAATAGTGCTCTTTAAAAGAAGATAGACCATGAACCCAGGACTTCTCAGCACTTGCTTCCTCTTACCAGAAGACCTCGTTGCATCGATTGCACTGCACTCGGCGAGCTCTAGGCTCCTGTACCCGAATAACCATGGGGCAGTCTGCACCGGGGCACAGCTGGAGCTGGTAATGGCTCTGTGAACACAAAGGGAAATGATGAGGATATCTTCTTTTAGCTGCCTCAACAGACTGCTCAACAGCCTCTGTTCTCCTAGCTGATAGCTTGTATCAAAACACTAAAACTTAGAAAGCTTAAAACAGGTAGCCACTAATTTCAAGTTATTTTATAAGAAGGTACCTGTAGGCTGGGTGCAGACACGTGTGTCTGTAACTTCAACTACTTAGTTACTTGGAAGACTAAGGCAGAAGGACTGCTTTGAGCCCAGGTAGCTTAGTCAAGGCCTGGTCAATACAGGGAAAACATGTCTCAGGAAGAAAAGCTTTGATGTGGCCTGGATGAGAACACATTCCAGTTACCTAGGCATCTGACAGTTCAGGGGCTCAAAGGTGCCTAGTAATCTACCGAAGGCAACAAGTATAAAAAGAATAAGGCTAAGCCATGATGGTGACTCAGGCCTTCAATGGAGGAATTGGGAGGCAGAGGCAGGTGAATTTCTTAGAGTTCGGGGCCAGCCTGGTCTAGAGTTCCAGGATAGTTGGGCTACAAAGAGAAATCCTGTCTTGAAAAACCAAACCAAACCAACCAACCAACCAAACAACCAGACAAACAAACAAACAACAATAAAAATCAAATAAACAAAACAAAACAAAAAAAGAACAAGGCCTTGTGTGTATACTGAATGTGCACAAGACAACAACCAACCCAATAAGCTTTTAAACTAAGTAATAAATGACAAAGATAAAGTTATGTTGCATAGAATCTGTAAAACTGACAGGTAGCCTATAAATAGGGAAAGGAATCTAAAATTAACCATACTGCAATCATGAACAAGTTTTCAAATTGCTAAAAAGCAAAACAAAAGAGCCCTTCTGGGTTGAAGTGTACAGAAAACCATGTGGAATATCAATTCTTGGGCTGTGCCAGACCTGTTCTCAACCCTCACATAAGATGGCTGGCTCAGCTTGTTTAATCAACTGTGAATATTTTAGGATGACTGTCCATATTATGGAAATGAAAACCAAGACTCAGCGTGGTTAAGAGCACTGACTGCTTTTCCAAAGGACCTGGCTTCCACTCCACATCCATGGCAAAACACCAAATACACGCATGCACGCGCATACACACACACACACAAATGCAAATAAGAAAAAAAAAAACAAAATTCAGATAAATTAATGAGCAATTGGTCTCGTAACAAGGAAGTAATAGATCTGGCATTTACATAGCGGTTTTTCTGACTCCTAAGCCAAGACCCATGTGACTCACCACCCACCATCTAATGGCAGCTGTGATTATACTGTGTACAGTAGGCTCAGGAAGACAGAGGGCAGAACAGGGCTGCTCATACCTCCACATAGTCCCTAAAGAGGTAGCGCCTGTATTTATCTCTCAATTCTTCATTGGGAAGCAAGGGAAATACAAAGTCCTCTGGTGTTCGGAGTGGACAATCCTGAGCCATGCACGAGATTCCTGTTGACCAAAGATAATGTGATGGATAACCATACTGCAGAAGACACAACACTTACCCACGAAGTTCAACCAACAAATTCTAATTTCATATAGGAATGCTGTCCAAAATATTTATCAAGAACATATTCAAACATGTTTTCATAATAATGTAACAAAGATTGTGCCCAATTATCCATAGATCAGCCCAAGCACCACTAAATAATCTGACAGGGCTGGATGTAGTGGCTCACACCTTTAATCCCAATACCAGCATTGGAAAGACAAAGGCAGAGGCAGAGGGATCATATGGTTGCTGAGGGTTGAACTCAGGGCCTCTGGAAGAGCAGTCAGTACTCTTAACCCGAGCCATTTCTCCAGCCCTATACCGACATTTTTATGTTTTCTTTTTTAAGGGGCTAGGTAGGGAGGGGACTCTTTCATGTAGTCCAAGCTAGCCTCAAACTTGTATCTAGCTGAGGTTGGCCTTGAACTCCTGATGTTTCTGCTTCTTCCTCCCAATTGTTGGGATCACAGACCTGTACCATCATACATACCCAGGTTAACATACTGAGATTCAGCAGGTAACAATGAACATGGTTTTAATTAGTCTGAATATTATCACGTCACAGAACAACAAATGCTTCTGTAGCTGGTAATAAATTCTGATATAGGTTATACCGCCCAAACAGTAGAGGGAATCAAGCCATGAAAGGAAGCTCAAAGGACAGTTCTTTCAAAGGTGAGAAGATCACACTTGTACTCACACTAATATCTGTCAGACCTTTAATTCCTTCACATTACTGGAGACCACAGAAACCGCTACTATTGACTGCTGCACTGAACTACCTGTTCTAACTATAAAACCCTTTTAATCACAGAGGAAAGGTTGCTTAAGGAAAAACATACAGTGAAGGACAAATACTTTAAGGCTGGAGAGAAGGTTTAGCAGTTAAAAGCACTTGTTGCTCTTGCAGAGGAACTGGGTTCTACTCCCAAAACCCACATGATGATCACTACAAACTGTAAAACAGTTCCAGGGTATTCCATGACCTCTACAAGCACCAACCACACATATGCTACACAGAGCTACATGCAGACAAAACATATAAAATAAAATTGAATAAATAAAATGAAGAGACCTAGTTAAGTTCAGTGTAGACTCACCCACACCAACACCATCCTTGACAAGCACAGAGCAATGCTGCTCCCAGCAGCTTCGGCAAAACTGATGTTGGCAGGCCAGAGAGAGTAGGTTTTCCTTCCGCACAAACTGCATACACACTGCACAGTGGTGAGGGGGATGGGCTGTGGGGACCTAGAGAGAGGGGGGGGAGGGGGGGTTAGCCACATAAGCCAAGGCCTCTCACCAAATTCAGTCATAAAATTCTGAAAGGTTGACTTGTAAAGGGTCTCACAGCCCACACTGCAGTATGTTGAAGGGCAGAAGATTTTCTATATAAATATAACCAAATCAAAAAACAGACTAGCTTCTGGGGTTCTTGGATACTTGGCAGAGGACCTGGGTTAGGTTCCCAACAACCACTCGGCAGCTCACAGCCATCTGTAGCTCCAGTTTCAGAGGATTTGATGCCTTCTCTTGGCCTCCATTCCTACCAGGCATGCATGAAGTGCATGTGCATACATGCAGGCAAAACACTCATATATGTAGAATAAAATAAATAAATTTGTTTAAAAAAAAAATCAGGCAGTGGTGACAAACGCCTTTATTCCTAGCACTAGGAAGCAAAGACAGGTAGATCTCATGACAGCCTGGTCTACACAGTAAGATCCCCGCAAAATAAATAAAAATTATTTCTAAAAAACACAAAAAAATTATTAAAACAAAACAAACAAACAAAAAACCAAACACAAAACAAAGCTGATGTTAACACTGTCAGACACAGAGACACTCACATGTTTGGATGGATTGGGCTGAACCCGAGCCTCAACAAGCAGCTGGGCAGAATTAGCCCTGTACCTGAAAACAAAGGCAGAGAGAGAGAATCAAAAACTGAAGACATTTTTAACTCAGTAACAGAACAAACATGTGTTATGGTTGCACTAAAGTGCCTTTTACCTTGTGAGCACAACATCCATGTCTGTAATCCTAACACTCAGCAAGTTTGAAGCCAACATAACTTACATAGTGAGTTTGAGCTTATCACTAATAACTCCCTTATTGAACCAAGTTTTTTTTTTTGATCTCAATACAAATGTTTTCTTTTGGTGGGGGGGGTAATGGGGTGGGCAGGGGCAGGAGGGTTTAGAGACAGGGTTTCACTATGTAGCTTTGGCTGTTCTAGAACCCAGTATGTAGACAAGGCTAGTCTTGAACTCACAGAGATCTATCTGTCTGTCTCTGTCTGCCTTCGACATGCTGAGACTGAAGGGTGTGGCACTAGGCTCAGCTGGTTTTGTCTGTTTGTTTTTGGAGACATGGCTTCTATGTGTAGTTCTGGCTGTCCTGAACTCATTCTATAGATCGGGCCGGCCTCAAACTCAAGAGATCTGCCTGCTTGTCTCCGCCTCCTGAGTGCTCAGATTAAAGGCATGAAATGACCACTGCCTGTCCCTTACCTAGTTTTTAATATTTACTGTATGTGTACTAATGTTTGGCCTGCATGTATGTATGGACATCATATGTATGCCTAGTGCCATGCAGGCCAGGAGAAGGCACTGGATTCCCTAATCATAGAATCAGTTGTAAGCTGCCATGGTGCTAGGAATTGAATCTGGGTCCTCTGAAAGTGCTCTTAACCACTGAACCACCTCTCTGGGCCTCAGAAAGTTTTGTTTTATTTTTCTGACATAGAAAAGATAATGTCTTCTGATGAGAGAGGAGAGTATAAAATGCAACCATATTAAATACAAAGCTGAAGAATGCACACAGCATAATTTTATGTTTATAGAATTGCATAATCATATAAATAAAAGATATATAATTTAAAAATAAAATACGAGTTTAAAAATATGGAGTGAATGGGCTGGAGAGATGGCTTGATAGTTATGAGCACTGACTGCTCTTCTAAGGGACCTGGGTTCAATTCCCAGCATCCACATGACAGTTCAGAAGTATATGTAAATCCAGTCCCTGGGCGATCTGACACCTTCACACCATTGCACATAAAATAAAGTTAAAAAAAAATGTGGGGTTAAGATGGAGCTCATCTTAGTATAGTATTTGCTTAGCATACACAAGCTACAGGGTTTGATGCCCTGCACTACTATAACCTTGGTGGCACTTGTACGTAATTCCAACTGTCAAGGACTCCACTGAGTTATAGTGAGCAGTGCACAGAGGTGCTACCAATCTTCCTTTACTTCACACAGTGCCATCCCATCTCCAAATAATTACTCACTCCAGTTGAGCCTAATGGCACTGATACGTATCTCAGGTAATTCAGACATAGGGGCAGGCAGATCGAATCAAAGGCTAGCCTGGGCTACAGAGAAACTTAGGGAACCTAGACAACTTAGCAAAATTCCACTTTGCTAAAACAGAGCTGGAGATACAGCTCAGTGAAAAAGCACTTTCCTAGCTCTTCAAGAGTTAAAGGCAGCTCAAGAGCTGTCTTGTGGTAAAGAGCATTGGCAGCAACTCCAGAGGTCGTGATTTCAATTCCCAGCAATCACACGGTGGCTCACAAACATCTATAATGGGATCTGATGCCCTCTATTGGCATGCAGGTGCATGCAGATAGAGTGCCATATACATTAAATAAAAATTAAAGGCATGTCCCATTGGGGGAGGAAAAATTGGTTACAGACACAGATGATTAGAACTAAATCTACTGCCAAACAACAGAGATTTTTAAAAAATGTATGAAATACCTGTAAAGTAACAAAATACTATACTAGCATCAAAGCAGAAATAGGGGAGAGAGAGAGAGAGAGAAAGAAATTGAGACAGAGAATATACTCCAAAATGTCAACAATCACAATGGGTGAGAGGCATTGAAGGATGCTAAGGACAATTTCATCTCCTTTTCATGAGATAAAACTGAACATCTTAACATCTTGCTGAACATCTCATCGGTTCAGGATCTATGCTAGCTACTTTTTGTCAACTTGACACAAGTTAGAGTCACTGCAGAGGAGGGACCTCTGGACACTGAAGCACTTTCTTCTTTCCACTGAACATCTTATCTGTTCAGGGTACATGCTGACTAGTTTTTGTCAATTTAGAAGGGAGCCTCAACTGAGAAAATGCATCCATAAGATTAGGCTATAGGCCTGACATGATAATACATGTCCCAGTGCTCAGAGGCAGTGACAAGTGGATTCTTTGGGTTCATGGCCAGTCTGGCCTACATAGTGGGCTTCAGGGCAGATAGAGCCAAATCAAAAAAAAGACTGGGCTGTAGGTGAGCCTGTAGGACATTTTCTTAACTAGTGACAGTGAGGGCCCAGCCCACTGTGTGTGTTGCCACCCCTGGACTGGTGGTTCTGGATGCAAGAAAGCAGGCTGAGCAAGCCATGGGGAGCAAGCCAGTAACAGCCCTCACCATGGCCTCTGCATTAGCTCCTGCTGTCAGGTTCCTGTCAGGTGTGAATATTCGCCTTGGCTTTCCCCAATGGACTGTGATTCAGAATATGTAGCCAAATAAGCCCTTTGCTCTACAAGTTGTTTTTAGTTATAATGTTTCAGCACAGCACACGTGTGCACACACACTCCAAAATGTCAACAAAACACAATGGGTAGGCAGACAGAAGAATGCTATGGGCAATTTTATCTCCTTTCCCCTTAACATCTTACCTGTCCAGAATCTCTGAGACTTGCCAGTGGAAATTAACTAATATAAGTTTTGCAACTGAGTGAGATACCTGTAAGAAACAACAACAAAAAATAACAAATTTTAACTGCAGCTTCTTACACTGCTCTATAGTTTCAAAATGCATACATCTACCACTATGCTGGGCTCACATTTTTTCTCTTAGTTGCATTCTTTGGCTCTTTTAAGTTAAATTAGTTATATTAATTATTTTATCTCTTGTTCTTCGTCTTTGTTTTCATTAATATTTCCTACAAAAAAAATAGAAGCTTTCACTGAAAACTGAACCAAAACCATCCTTTCTATAGTAATTAAAAATGTGATTATCTGAGCTAGGCGTAGAGGAGCATGTCTTTAATCCCAGCACTCAAGAGGCAGAGGCAGGCAGATCTCGAGGCAGATCAGAGTTCAAGGCCAGTCTGGTCTACAGAGCTCCAGGACAGCCAGAACTACATATTAAGACCCTGTCTCGAAGAGGAAAAAAAAAGGGATATCAAACATAAGGAAGAGAGCTTCCCAAATGGGATCCCAAATGTGACTTATGTTCTCACGTGCTGTCCTATGAGGGCACACACAGAGAGTATGAGTCTAGCTAGTACTAGCAACACAGCTCCAGGCTTTGACTTCTTCGTTCATACACCACAAATAACAAAATAAAGGATTTAAGGTCAGATTAGTGGTAGCACATAAATTTAATCCAGCAGATGAATCTTTTCTGAGTTCATCTCAGAAATAAAGCTGGGTTAGGCTGGAGAGATGGCTCAGTGGTTAAGAGCACCAGCTGCTCTTCCAGAGGTTCTGAGTTACACTCCACACAACTACATGGTAGCTCACAACTATCTGTAATGAGACCTGGTGACCTCTTCTGTTATGCAGGCAGAACACTATATACATAACAAATAAAATTTTTAAAAAACAAAGTTTGGCATAGTAGCACAGCCCTTAATCTCAGGACTTGGGAGGTAGAGGCAGGCAAATCCTTGGTATACATAGAAAGCACCAGGCTAGCCAAGGTTACACAGTGAGACTCTGCCTCAAAACAAATAATTAAATAGCATTTAAAAACCAGTTTTGTTACTGCTTTTGTTTTTCAAAACAGGACTTCTCTGTGTAACTAGACTTGCCTGTCCTGGAACTTGCTCTTGAGACAAGGTTGGCCTGAAACTCAGAGATTCACCTGTCTCTGCCTCCCAAATTCTGAGACTAAAGGCATGCACCATTATGTCTGGCTTAAAATCAGTTTTAAATCTCTGGATTCATAAAATCCAACAAGCCCTAGTAGCAGAACATTTTTTAAAAAGTTTGTAGACAGTTTTCTGGCTTGTACATTTTCTGGCGTCTACATAAAAGGTGACAAAAGCTACCAATTCTACTGTAAATTCTTTCTCCCAAGGAAGTAAGGGAGGTTACATGCACTACTAAGTTATTTGCAAGAATAAAATATTAAGGGCAACTTACATATCCAAGAAAAATGAGTTTGATAAATAATACATAACAGATCCATGCAACGGACAACAATCTAGTTAGTGGAAAGAATACTACAGTAATGGTCTGCTCTGTTAAGACAAGGCACCCCTACCCCACACCCCTGCAAAGGCAAGGTGATCTTTTTCTGTTTCCCTCTTGAAGAGGCAGCTTCTATCTCTCCCTTCTCCCCACTTCTCCCCTGCCCCCTTCTCTCTCTCTCTCTCTCTCTCTCTCTCTCTCTCCCTCCCTCTCTGTCTCTCTCTCTCTTTCTCTCGTCTCTCCCCTTCTCTCCTCCCCTTCCAAAACCCACTAAGTAAATATCCAACCTCGCTCTGAATGGCTTGCCTAACCAGGCATGGCTCCCTGCCCGGGACCAGCCACCTTAGGAGACCTGTGGCGTGCCCAGATGGCACTGTCTCTCCCTGTGGGACTGGCTGCCTCGTCGAGGTCTCTCATCCACCATGTGGCTCCCTACCTGGGACTTTTCTGTCCCTCATGGCCCACTGCAGCCACTTGGGGAACTGCGTAGTCCCTGCCTGGGACTGGCTGCCTGCCGCCACTTCGGGGACCTGCAGTATGGTATCGGGGCAGCCACTTAGGGATGCACAGCATTTTACTTTTATCATTGCAACTATAGTCATTGACACAGAAAAGGGTTTTCTTTTTTTCTTTGAAAGAGTGTCTCATATATCCTAGGCTGACCTAAAGCTTGCTATAGCTAAAGGTGATCCTAAATTTCTGATCCTTCTACCTTCACTTCCTCAGTTCTGGGATTACAGATGTGTGCCACTATGTCCAGTTTATGCTCAGTTCTTTGCATATAATAGGCAAGCACTCAACCAATTGAGCTACATTGCATGCTCCAGAAGTTTACATTTCAATATTAGGTTAAAGAAGCACGTAGTAAGGCAGCATTTGTTTGTTAGGGGACATAATATCTTATTAAGTGAAAAGTAAACTAGTTGCAAAACATCTTAAGTGTCAAGACATGAGCCAAAAGGTTGGGATGTGTTTGTAGGTCTATATCTGACTACCCAGGGCAAGCATAGGATATCACAAAAGTGCTACAGAAAACATGAAAGGCCAGCAGATACCTCAGGATACAGACATAACTCTATTCTGAGGCTGAGTCCTACCTGGTTCACAGAGAAGAACTTCAGTAGGGAAAACATAGTAACCAACATGTGATTCCCCAGCACTGGCGCTCAAATAATCCAAGACTTAAATAAGGCATGTCTTAGAACAATACCATTATCTGAGGCTGTTCAATAATGGGTGCCTTCCTGTCCCACAGGCCAAATATATCTGAAGAAAACCAAGGATGCAAGGCAGTTAACCTCATTTGGGGTAGGGGTTCCCACTACCCTCCATGAAAGAGAACAACTGTGCACACTGTTAAAACATTTTCTAACTGAGGACCATGAGATTTTAGGTCAAGGTTCCTAATCATGGATAGTAATGTCTTTTAACTATTTCAATAGACCATTATCATAAAATGAAGTGATATACTAGCTATTTTAAATTTTAGCAGCTGCATAAATACAGCTGTTAGGTACAAACTTTATTTCATTTTTAGATAGGTCTCATTCCTTAGCCTTGTTTGGCCTAGAACCTTCTATGTAGAACAGGCTTCCAACTCAGAGATTCACCTGGCTCTGCCTTCTGAGTACTGACATTAAGGATGTGCCACACATTTTCCCCCCTTAGAGGTTCTCACTCTGTGGCCCATGCTGATACAAGCTTGTGATGTGTGGTGGTTTGAAAGAAAGTGGCCTCAAAGAGAGTGGCAGGATTAGGAAGTGTGCCACTGCAGAGGTGAGCTTTGAGGCCTCATATATGCTCAAGCCAAACCCATTGTCTCGGACCACTTTCTGTTGCCAGTGAGTCAAGATGTAAGGACTCTCAGCTCCTTCTCTAGTACTATATCTGCCTGCATGCTGCCTCACTTCCCGACATGATGATAATGGACTAAACCTCAGAATTGGAAGTGAGTCACCCCAATTAAACATTTTCCTTTATAAAAGTTGCGGTGGTCATGGTGACTCTTCACAGCAAAATGATCCTTTTGCCCTGGCCTACCATGTGCTGGGATTATGGTGTGCTCTTACAACTCTTGAACCATGATCCTCTGCATTACTTCCTCAACGCTGCTAATTACCAACGTGCAACCTTGCCCAACTACGTCAACTGCTTCTTACCTTGACTTCTGTTTTAATTTGTAGCTAAAGATAACCTTGCATCTTCCTGTCTCCTGGGATCACAGGTATGGGCCACCATACCCAACTGTTCTGATTTCTAAATATCTTCATATACAGAGGGCATGGGCCCAGCAAAGGCACTAAAATTACCACAAATGACTTAGGCGGAATCTTTTAACTATGGAAAGAGGTCAGGGCTGCCTCCCTTAATTCCATAAAGTCCACACAACTAGACAAGAAATAGATATCCATTCAATACGTGATTAGTTAGTAATTTATGTGTGCTCATGTATATGGCCTTCAAGCAACTGATTCTTCTTTCTCCACCTGTATATTTGGATTACAGGGACAAGATACCAAGTCTGGCTTTACAGAGTTTAGGGATCTAAACACAGGTAGTCACACTTGCAGAGCAAGCCCCTTACTCACTGAACCGAACACCATATACCAAAATTAACCTGTGGTTCTTCAAAAGAATAAAAAAAAATGTTCAAGGTACGGGGGCTGGAGAGATGGTTCCGGGGTTAAGAGCACTGACTGCTCTTCTAGAGGTGCTGAGTTCAATTCCTAGCACCCACATGGTGGCTCACAACCATCTGCAATGAGCTTTGGTACCCTCTTCTGACCTGCAGGCATACATGCAGGCAGAACACTGTATACATAAAAATAAAAAAGTAAAGGTAGAACTATTTTTAGAAAATGTTCAAGACATTTATTTGAACACTGTACTGATTCCTTGATTTCAACAACACTAACAGTCAAAACAAAGCCTCAGAGTTAAGCTCATTTACACTAACATGGTTCTGTTGACACCAGAAACGCACTGACTACAATTCTGTGCACATCCTAGTTTTGGTAAGGAAAGAAAATTAATTGTTGAAGAGATGGCCCACAGTTAAGAGCACTGGCTGGTCTTGCAGAAGGATCTAGGTTCATTTTCCAGCACTCACACTATGGCTTATAACTACCAATAGCTCAAGTTCCAGGAATCTGACCATGGACCTGGCACATACATGGTGCACATCTATCATACAGACAAAACACACAGCCAGAGCTAAAGAATAAGTCCCTTTCTCAGGGAGGGGTCAAAAACAAAACAAACAAAAAACAACACAATAAAAACTGTGAAGATATTTATTAAGTGCAAAGAGCCAAAAAAAAAAAAAATCCCTCAATACACTTGAGTCAGCAGAGAAAAACTCACACATATACCCCCACTAGCCTTCTGTATCAGGTGCTAGTGTGGTTCCCAAGTTGTACGTGAAGTTTAAGAAAAATGCCTATGTTATGACATATGCAAACACTGTGAATATGGTGGAACCATTGTGGCAAGACTGGCCTTCATCCAGCAAGGCACACAAGGAGGATATCAGTGGTTCTCAGTCTT